TGCTGTTATGTTAAACTTATATTAAAGTTTTTCTTCATTACCCATTCAAGCCTTCTCCAGCCATTATTAGTCTCAAAGTGGGTTCCTCGTCATCGAACATGTGCATTAGTTTAGTGAATACATCTAATCAGATTAATAGAGATGCGTGTTTGCATCTGTAAGGGTTAGTTAATTTAATGAAACTAGTCACAATTTATAGGGCCAATTAATTTGTGAAATATATTTTACTGGCAGTTTCTGGTGGTTTAACTTCCACCCATATATGTTGCTTATTTGATACGGCCTGAGCTTCAATTGTTTTACATGTACTTAAATCCTTATTATACAAACATACAGTGTCTTGCAAAAGTATTCAGCCCTACCAATAATGTCACATTTTGATGAAATACAAATAATGTAAATATTTTTTAACGAACTTGTTTTTATACAAAACTATAATGATCAAACGTAACATTGTTATGTGTGACAGAAGTTGAATGTCAACAAAACCTGCAAAGAAAAAATATATATATAAATTGAAATTTGCTGGTTGTATAAGTATCCAGCCCCCTAAGTCATTACTTGGTGGAAACACCTTTGGCAGCAATTACTTCTGTGATAGGTCTCTACCAGTTTTGCACAATGGGATAGTGTAATTTTTACCCATTCTTCCGGCAACATTCCTCCAATTCTGACTGACAAGTTTATTGGGGATCGTTGATGGACTGCAATCTTTAAGTCTCGCCATATATTTTCTATAGGACTTCATTTTCTTCTTATAAAACCACTTCAGTGTGGCTTTGGGTCATTGAAATGTGAATTTTCGACCCAGTTTTAGATTTTTGGCTGAACGAAGCAGGTTTTCCTCTAGGATTCGCATGTACTTTGCACCATTCACCTTCCCCTCAATCCTGACAAGCTTCCCAGTCCCTGCTGATGAGAAGCATCCCCCATAACATGATGCTGCCACCACCATGCTTGACAGTTGGGATGGTGTTAACTGGGTTATGTGCTGTGTTGGGTTTGCGCAAGAAGTAACACTTTAAATTTAGACCAAAAAGCTCAATTTGTGTCACGTCTGACCACAAAACCTTCTGCCACATGTCTGCAGTATCATTTACATGCTTTGTCACAAACTCCATAATGGTTTCTTTCTTGCCACTCGCTCATAAAGGCCAGCTTTGTGTGAAGACCGGGATATTGTCGATGTATGAACACTGACTCCCATCTGAGACATGGAACTTTGCAAGTCTTTCAAAGTCACTGTTGGCTTCGCAGTGGCATCCCTAACCAATTTCCTGCTTGCCCGACTGATTAGTTTGGAAGGGATAATCAGCGACTTTGAAATCTTTTTTGTAACCTTCTCCTGATCTGTGCTTTTCTACCACTTTATCAGTGAACTGTTAGGAAAGCTCATTGGTCTTCATAGTTGGTTTGTCGTATCACTATGTGAATTGTGGTTTGAACATTTACTCTAAAGTCAAGTTAAATCACTTTGATTACACACAGACAGAAACCATTACACTGATTTTGTGACCTTTCAGATATTTGCACTTGAAGTGATTTAACTTTGACGTTGCAAAGGGGTTAAATACTTGTGAAATTGAGAATATTCTAATTTTCCTTGAAAATCTAACTTACTTACATAATATCAACGTTTCTTTATTTAACTTTCTTCGTTTGGAGTAGATTGTGTAGATTTTAAATATAAAGTCCTATTTGAAAGTTTCATGACTGCAAGCTTAGACAGTGTAAGGGTTGGAGACGGTTTGAATGGACAATGAATAAAACTCTATTATAAATGTCCAACGTTTCGAAAAGATTATTTCATCATCAGGTACAAGTAGTTTAGATAATAGACACAGGAACAAAGTACGGTACAAAGAGGTCACATGACCGGAGATTGCTTAACAGTTTAGTAAAGGTATCTTGATACTCCGGGATGTTGACTTACAGTATGGTTGTTTTTTTCAATTAAGATAAATAAACTTCTATTGTTTCGCTTTTTTTTATGTTTGGTTCTTTCTTGAAAATAATTCTTTTATACATATGCAATGTTTTTTTTTGAGTTGCAATGCTGATAAACGCGGGAAGGTTTTTTATTATGTTCGGTTAATCTGGTTTTTAATTTTCGTCCAGTTTTTCTGGTGTACAGTTCTGGACAGTTATCGCACGTTACTTTATAAACGACTTTGCTATTGTTTGCTTCTATGTAATTTTTATTTAATAATGATTTTAGTTTAGGGCCAGGGTTTTGAGTGAATTTGAAGTCAACAGGAAGTTTATCTTTAATGGCAAGTTTTCAAAGTTTTGATTAATTTCGAACTGATTTCAGGGATAAATGGTAAACTACGGCGTAACTTTGTATTGTTGTTTGGTGTTTTAAAGTATATTTTGTTTCTGTGTTGAGTTTTTGTTCTGGTGATTGTGTGAAAAACTTTAGACAACAGTTGGTAAAAATTTTGGGTGTGGATGAATGAATTCTTTATAGAGTTGATTTCCTCATCTATGTAGCCAGTTGAGCAAAGTATTGAAGCTGTGTTTATAAGATTGCTTAGTATATTGATTTTTTTTGTTTGGATTCATGGGCGGAATTATAGGGTATGCAGAGGCCTATGTGAGTGACTTTTCGGTGAACGTTGGTTTTGAACAATGTGTCAGATCTAATAATGTCGAGGTTAAGAAAAGATAACTACTTGTTATTTTCTTGTTCAATGGTGAATTTAATGTTCAGGTGAATGGAGTTTATGTGTTCAAAGAAAGTGTGTGTTTTGTAGAAATTAAACCAGCAAAACTGTCATCGACATATCTGTAACAGTATAGGGGAGGATAAAGTGCGGATTGTATGGCTATTGTTTCGATCTGGGTTAAGCCTTAAAGCATTAATGGCTAGCTTTGAGACATTTTCACCGAATGTCACTTGTAATATTGTACTTGACCTCTACCGTAATGACCCCAATCACTTTTTGTTTCCTTCTTAGAATTCACAACAACAAAAACCAATTTCATTTTCAACAACAAAAACTTTCTTCAAACAGAGGTATTTAAGCATGGGCAACCCCGTTTCACCTGTTCTCGCCAACATAGTTACGATTGGTTTAACGTGTTTTTGAAATTAAAAACATCTTTAAAAAAAAGGAACGTGTCAGATGTTATTTAAGGTGTGAGGACCCAGGCTATGTCGGTGGAAGTAGCTTCTTCAAACTAGTTAAATACAAACATTAGTTCGGCATGACAAGCCACTGTATGCATCTGTGTATATGTACAAGTAGAAACAGTGTCAATACATTCTGCTATACACATTATTTTCAGATTTCAGACGAACAAGTTAATAATGAGATTTTTTATGTAATTATCGCTATTCTTAATTAGTTATCATTATTGTGTATTCGTCAGGTTGGTGTAATATTATACATCGATAAGAAAACTATAATCTATATTTGAGTATATATATATATAGGAATTTCTTACGCTAGCGCCCTATGGTAGAGAACTTATCAACTGTGATGGTTAATATCTATATATTTCCTTTCTTTGAGCTATCCTAGAACACCAATTCAAAGTTAACACGTTCGGTGGTAAGCTAACCTGCTTTAATGAAATCTATGAAAATAAACATTGAAACCGAATAAGTTAAACTTGCTGAAAAACACGCGGTTTGTTTGGTTCTGTCATTTGTTTTTCACAACTTAAGAAAAGTCATATTTACTTACTACAATGTAAGTAAAAACTGTGAACAATTGGGCCCCCAAGTGACACAGCAGTAAGTTTGTGGACTAATTATGTTAAAAATCGGGTTTCACTACCTGTGATGGGCACAGTACTGATAGCCCATTGTGTAGCTTTGTGCTTAATTACAAAACAAACAAAGTTAACGATTAGTCTCGAAAGAAGTAAACAGCTTCTGAACTTCATTTCCTTAAAGTTTTTTGGCGTGTTTCATGAGGATACTTTGTATAGATGATTATGAAGCGACTCATCTAGTTAGTCCTAGCGAAAGGATGATAGAAAATATAGAACAAGCATAGAATGTGGTAACGGTGGTAGCTTTTGTTTATATATCGCGTAAAAAGAGTCAAAAATATTTTTATGAAGTCTTATTCCACAAAGTCGGCACTCACGTAGTAATACGTTGATAGGACATTAGATTAACAGGCACATCAAATGATGACTGTTACCCATGGGAAAACTAACAGATTTAGCGCCTAGCTGAAGGTTAGGAAGATAAGACATATTCTATTTAAGTACAAGTAAGCTCGATGAGTATTACATACAGCTTCATATCCTGGCAGAAAATGCTGTTTTTTCTGTTTAGCGTACTTCTACCGTGGTGTGGACTGGGGATTCCGCTCGATGGTAAGTTTCATCTTTGGGAATTCCACTCAATTGTAAGTTTTAATCTTTTGGAATTCCACTTGATGGTAAGTTTCATCTTTGGGAATTCCACTCAATTGTAAGTTTTAATCTTTTGGAATTCCACTTAATGGTAAGTTTTAATCTTTTGGAATTCCACTCAATTGTAAGTTTTAATCTTTTGGAATTCCACTTGATGGTAAGTTTCATCTCTGAGGATTCTTCCTCTCGATGTTAAGTTTTATTACTGGTAATTACTCTGAATGGTAAGTTTCCCTCTGCACCTCCAAGTAAAAAGCGTTATGGTAATGAAGCAATTAAGTAATAAAATGTCAAACATTGTAATGTTACTTTTCTTGTTTTCTAAGAGGTAAGGGAATTTCTTAGAATATACGTAATATTATCTTTATATCCTCTTTACAAACAGATGTCATAATCTTGACATGCAATACTGTCATTTGAAAAAAGATAACTGCTTGTAGTTTTACATTCAAGTTAGTTTATTTGTATATACAAGGTAAGCCATTGCGACGTCTCCCCTCCCACCAATAAAGGTAGATGAACCTACAAGTTGTATTTACAAACAACACAATTAATATGCTAATGGTACATTTATTTAGAAGTTCGCTATGACCCACTGTGTAGGGAGGGAAAGTTAGAAGACAATAAATACGTATTTAAGAACTTATGAAAAGTAAGCCATCATTAGAAACGTGTGTCTCCAACTCATACTTTAATGGTATTTTACCTTATGTTTTTGTATGAAATTTAATGCATACATACACCAATTATCACTTTATACAAACGAAAATTAAAAAAATTTTACTAACAAGTAGCAAAACTGAAGAATAATTACAATAAATGTAAACTAGGACACGTTTGTGTTTTACTTTAGAGAGGGAAGAAAGAGTAAGATAAACAACTTTAAAATAACCCTAATTTTGCGGAAGAATGATAGCTACTTTTAATACGACATTACTGAATACGTTATTCAAAAACTCAAAATATAAGAAGTGTATCTATTCAATGCTTAAGTACAAAACTAAAGATAATCTTGGATCACACAACAGCTTCGTGAACTTCTTACTCGATAAACAAAGTCCATGCTATACATTGTAATTATTCGTGTGTTTTTTTTCCTTCTTCTTTTCAGATTATGATGGGGATTCAGGACTATACAATCCTGGTAAGAACACGAACTATTTGTGTGTTTTCTATTCACTTATTATTCAAAATAAAATCAATTATACTTTTAGTAAAAAATATCAAACGTTAAATGAAAACGTCTTGGAATTTAAGTTACGTTTTATGATTAAATTGTAAAGACACTCCTCGTATATTTGATCTGAATAGTAATATATTTCATTGATTTTAATACTTCGATTCTTCTTTGAGTTGTCCTTTATTTGTATAATATCGTTATATAATCTAAATGACCTTTCAAACCAATATCTCTAGTTTTGTTTTCATATACATACTTAAAAGTAAAACAACAACTCCCAATCATTAAATTTTCATTGATTTACACGCTTATAAAGCTCGGTGGTGTTATTATGTGTTTTATAAGTATGTGCACCATACTAAAAGGACAGTTTACTAAAAGATTTAAATCAATATCTTTATTGGACATATGTATTGTCGCTTATGTAACAGCAATATGAAAGAAAACATATGTTTACTTTGTAACAGGTCTCTACCAAGGCGATATCGCTGGAATTGACATGACACAGGTAGGATTTCAAAAATTTCCATTTGGTTTAGTTAAACTCTTAAAATAGGTAGTTCAGTTATTAGTTATGTATGCGAACAGGTTTACAAAACTGACATTAACCTTGGAATTACCGACAAGTTCACATAAGACTTTTAAGCACTTTTTTTTTTCTAAATTAATTAATGCCTTCCAATGGGACATCAGTAAAATTGAAGACTTGTAACGCTAAAAATCGGTGGGCACAGCACAGACAGCCCATTGTGTAGCTTTGCGCTTAACCACAAACACAAAATCTCTAAATTAATCCTACAAAGAAGCTGCTTGTGGGTCCACGACTTTGTTGGTTTTAGGATCCTTACTAGCAGAAGGGCCTACAAAAAAAAATGTTGCCAATATTATAACGATTTCCACCAATTTTGGGGTACTAAGTCATGAAGATCACTCTGAATGACCACTTTGTTATTACACTTGTCTTAAATCTGTTTTACTTCATATTTTTATTATTCGTTTTTCATATATTTTTACCTTAGTAAGTTATTCAATTTTTATGTTTAGGGATAATAATACATTATTTGTATATAGTTTTGTCATAAATGAGGTCAATAGGTTGTTTTGTTATATATTATTTATAATCATAAAAATACTAACAAACAAAAAACTAATAATAACGTTTGATCCCAGTATTTCAATCCATCCTCAACTTGTATTGCTTAAATACATGTCATGATAAGCTCAATAAAGATGTTGTTTTGTTGTTGTTGTTACAAACTAGTTCGATGATTGTTTGTAGTTAAGCACAAAGCTACACAATGGGCTATCTATGCTCTGCCAACTACGCGGTATAAGTCAGCAAACATACCGCTATGCCAATAAAGGGGGGGGGGAATAGTTCGAACACCCACAACTGTGTATTTGGCATTATGCTAAATGATGAATAAATTTTGGTTGTTGTTGTTTTTCTGCTTTTTTTAGGAGTATATTTCATTTCTTATTTTTAGATTCTTTGTTTTTCGAAACACTACTGTAAAAATTCAAAATATTCAAATAGAATCACAATCTATATGCAATTCTCATAGAGTGGCCAAACATGTTAAAAAGCACGTTTTATAGTTACCTTATTTGCATATGCAAAATTATTGTTTACACAACAGCATTCACTTCTGACAAATAGTAAAGGCCCGCCCGTTTGTTTCTTGATCCCATGCACCTAATGTTGGTGTAAAAATAATATATTTTTCTATGTATTTCACAGAAATACTACTTGAATATTAACTCTGATGTTGACTTCGACTGTCAATGTCTTTATGTATATACTTATTAAAATTTTAACGTTTGTAAGTTCAGGCATTAAGCTTAAATATATAGAGAAAATTAAATATGTATAGATAACTGCACGGAAGCTCAATTACAACTTTAGGCTTAGCTTCTATCACCGTAGGCCTAAATATGTGATGAAAGTTTACATTTCTTTCTAGTTATGCTATAATTTATTATAGCTTAAGGTTTAAATATTATGTCTAATAACGTAATAAACTTATTACGTATATTTACTTTTATTAGAAATTAAAATTTAAAATTTGAATTTAATTAGAAGTTAAAGCATGTATCTCTTTTAAACTAGTGAATGGGAAGGATTAAATTGTTTTATTTTAGAGAGACTTCTTTTCATATTAGAAAACTGTACAAACTCTAGGAGTGTTATGGAAAGTGTCATACAAAGGAAAAGGGTCAAAGGATGATATTTTAACTAGGTTGTGACATTAGTTTCTACTTAGTTGACATAAAATCGTTGTACGAAGTCGGTGTTTCATTCGTCCCCGAGAAACTACGTCATAATTGTGTCTAATCAACGAAAATAATATAATAAATATTTTGCCTTTAGGACAGGAATGCCATTGTAGATCACACAAAGCTGTGGCCTGGCGGTGTTGTCCACTATGAAATAGATCCAGCTGTTGGTAAGATGCTCGTTTTGAAAATATTATGAATGAACACCAAGATGGTGTGAACAAGGATTAAATAGTGTTTGATTTGTTAACGGTTTTTGTTTCGTTTCAAGATGTCTTGTAAAACACCAAGCGTTATAATTTCAATCTCAGAAAATAGACTTACACTTCAACTGGTATCATCAAAGCCACAAACAACTGTGTACATGATGGAAGAGAACATTATGCTAACGTCCCTTACGAAATTCAAAAATTTTAACTGCTTATTCATTTTCCACAATTCGATGCAGATAACATTATGGCGGACAGGAAACAAGCAACAAAGCTGGGTTATTTAAGTTGTTTTCAATTATTTCGTTCAGTTTCTTAGAGTCAAAAGATTTATATTAACCCAAAAATTCTGCGAATTTTCGAAGCAACAATTACATTAAAGTTTCAATGTTTACTCAAGTAAAATTAGAGAAAATACAGAAAACTTCACTTTTCAAATCCACTTTATTTCAAACGCCATGATGCACAGACTGAACATTTTATACGACAAACAGATGATTACGTGTATGTAAAAATATTAAATGTAACAGTTTCTGCATCAAAATTTGTCCCCATTAGGTCAGCTGCAAGTTTACGAACTTAAACGCTAAAAGTCGGGGTTTGATTACCTGCGGTGGACAGAGCGCAGCTAGCCCAGTGTCCAGCTTTGCGCTAAAAACAACAAATTTTTTGCTCTCCGGTGATTCAGTGGTAAGTCTGAGGGCTTATAACGCTAAAAATCGAACTTTGATATCCACTTTTGGCAGAGCCTAGATATTTAAGATTGTGTAGCTTAACAACAAGCTAACAAACAAACACAAAAATCGGTAAATACACTTGGACTAAGCAGACGTACAAAGTGTCTTGAGAGATGAATTGGAGAGTTTAGGAGTTAATGGTTTGGAATTATCCTTTTACTAATGACATCAGTAGAGGAAGTAATGTTTAATTTAAAATATTGTGTGATTTAAAGTTTCAAGAATGGAATCATTAATCATGAAATTCTAACCAATAGACTCATCACTATGATCAACTGTACACGTTATTTTGTTTCCTCATCGTAAAATGAATTCAACACTTACTGCACACAAAAAAATTATTGGTGGAGTTAAGAATTGTATGCAGACTTAACATGGGAATGCAAATCAAGAATTGTTTTGAATTTCGTGCAAAGCTACACGAGGGCTATCTGCGCTAGCCGTCCCTAATTTAGCAGTGTAAGACTAGAGGGAAGGCAGCTAGTCAACACCACCCACTGCCAACTCGTGGGTTACTCTTTACCAACGAATAGTGGGATTGACCATCATGTTGTAACGCCCCCACGGCTGAAAAGGCAAGCATGTTTGTTATAACGGGAATTCGAACCCGCGACCCACAGCTTGTGAGTCGAGCGCCCTAGCCACCTGGCGGCAAATCAAGAATAATAGCCGTTATCTATTACTGTAGGTTATACTTAAGTAGACTGTTTTCAGATTAACGCAAGAGAGGATAATACGTAGCCTAGCGGTTAGCTTGTCTGGAGTGTGAATCCGAGAATTCATGGGTCGTGAGTCGTTGTCGCAAAAACACTCTCCGCACTTTTAGACTGTGGTTGCGCTATAAGAGTACAGACAACACCCACTATTCTATCAGACAAACGTAGCCCAAGAGTTATCAATAGGTTCTCTTGACCATCTGCCTCCTCTCCAGTCTGTCAGTTCAAAATCAGGGACGGCTTTGCATAGATAGGCCTTTTATACCTTTGAGCAGAATTCTATAAAATATGTGTTGTATATTCGTTGTTAAGCCCAAAGCTATACAATGGGTTATCTAGGCCCTGCCAACCACTGTATCAAGACCCGGTTTTTAGCGTGAAAAACCATTCAGATTTACCGCTGAGCCACAAGGGGAGGGGTAACAAAAGACGTAAAACACTACAGAAATAATACTTCTAGCAATATTTCTAAACATAAATGCTTTTTTTTTACAGATTTCATGAGGGATAAGATAATGGCAGCTATCAAGGAATACCACGACAAAACGTGTGTTCGATTTGTTCCAAGAACATCCAATGTAGTAGACTATATTCGAATCGTCGATGAGCCTGGGTAAGACATTGGTGTTGTTCTCTTTTATTGTTTGGGGCAAAAAACACAAAAACACTATAAAGTGGGATCTTAGAAGCCTACTTAGGAACTTTGTCCCGAATGGCTTTTTCTGTCTGTCCTGCTTGGGAACATTTTCAGTTTACATGTTTTTACGTGTTATCATGCTGAGTTTCAACAGTAGAAGAAAAATAAATGGATTGTTATTTTTGTTCTGTTTCCTTTTTTTAGTAATAAGAAAATTGAACGAAATTTTCAAGTTTTTTTTTAATTTAAGATATAAATCATAAAATTGATTTCTGATATACTGACGGACGAATATTTTAAAACGTTTTCGTTACTTTTCTTATTTTTGTAGAGCGCCATTTATGTAAACCGCACATTTTTGTTAGCGTAAAGTTAGTTATTATGATGTTTTTTTTCACAAGTCATTCTTAACCAGCTCTTACGATATCACCTAAATCAACGTATCACAAGTGTATTCCAGTTCTTTCGATATCACCTAGATCAACGTATCGCAAATCACGGTATTTATGTTAATAAATACGCCTCTGGAAGTGTGATCTAGTGAAAAGTGACGTTGCCAACAAACTGTTTGTGGACTAAAATGTGAAGTGCTATAAGTTTAAAAATCATGGACATGGCCTTGAAAAGGGTAATAGGAATATATATATATATAAAACACAAAAGTATGTATGTCTGTCTGTTTGTCCCTTATCTAACTACTCCTTGGTCGCTGGGCCAATCTCAACCAAATTTTGTGGGATGATAGTATGGAACAAGGGGCATATTATTTGAGAGATCACAACCTCCATTCCCCATTATTGCTGTTATCGAGCATTTAATATATCTGACGTAAGTTAACGTTAATTACATTGATAGATATTGCCACGTTCTTACACTAAAGAAAAATAAACTTTATTAAATTTTCCGTCCCCCGGTGGGACAGCAATAAGTATTCAGATTTACAATGCTAAAATCAGGGGTTCGATTCCCTTCGGTGAACACAGCAGATAGCTCGATATGGCTTTGCTATAAGAAAACACACGCACATTAGATTTTTTATAACACAACATACACACAGTGTGTGTGGGGGAGGACACACAAACGTCTTATGTATCTCAGAAAGTGCACTAACACTCTATGGAGAAATGCAATGAAAAAAAAGGTTGCCACTATTGTAATAATACTTATATAAACTCAGATGAAGTTGATACTACAACAACCACCATAATCATTTTTGTGCGCCAATTCTCGTGAATTTATCATATAGCGTTTGAAATAACAATAGCCAAAGAGGGTAGAAGAGGTCTAGATTGAACCTGGTCCTCGATTCTGGTTTTGTTCGATTGACAGATAACAGCCCAACAGATATATATATATATATATGCACCAGAGTTACTGTATTTAGTTAAACTTTTTTTAGGTGTTGGTCATTCGTTGGAGTCCAGGGTGGACTACAGAAGGTGTCTTTGGGTCAAGGCTGTAGTACAAAACCAACAAGTATCCATGAACTGATGCACGCCATCGGTTTCTGGCATGAACAGAGTCGCTCTGATAGAGATGATTACTTGGAGATCATCTGGGAGAATATAATGGAAGGTAACGCAATACGTCTCTATTTTTTACACTACGCGAAAATAGATTATAAACTTTAAGAGAACAGAGCAAAAACTTGAAGTTTCTCGAATAAAATATAACGGACAGACGTTATTTTCACACGTTGTCTGAGGGTTTCTTTTGTGTGCGTTTCTTGAAGATACTATATTTCTGTTGAAAGGTTTCCTTTTGAAGTGACATCAATTATTCTATTGGTTAGTGTTTCACAATGCCCATTTTGACCACAATCGTTTGGTTTTACTGGTAATCTAAGTATCCATGAGTGTGTATATTTTTTATGTAGACTGATGCTGTGAATTCAGTTGGAGATTCATTTTTGGTCACTTTCACGATCAGGAATGTTGATTCCATTTTCAGGCGTTTGGTCTTGAAATGAGGAAGTCATAAAGACTGTCCATTCAACGTGTGAAAATATTCCTGTGCATTTTATCTATAATTTCATGTTCATTAAGATTAAAATGTTTCCAGTTTCTTGACTTGTTTTGTATATATATATTCATATAATAGACCTTTAAACTATAATACCATTGTTGTCATTTTGAGTATAAGTTCTTAACTTTAGCTTTAATGACATTTTTACCGTGTTATGTATATTTTGTAAATTCAACTATAATAACATTGTTACCATTTTGAGCATAAGTTTTTAACTTCTAACTGTAATGCCATTGTTACCATTTTGAGCATAAGTTTATAACTTTTAACTATAATTCCATTGTTACTATGCAGTTCATACAGTTTGAAACTCTAAGGCAAGAACAACATAAGTTTTATACTTTTGATTTAGGATTATAAATCTTATTATTAGTATAGGAGGTGGATATTTTGAATTTTAAAATCTTTATAGAGAAATTACTTTAGCGATTAAATTCAATAAATTCATGTAAATGTGAAAAATAAAAAAAACAAATGATAGATAACTTAAAAACTCATCTTAAATAATGGGAGATTTACCTTTTAAAAATACTTAGATGATTGCATTTTGTTTTTAATAAACTCCATCGGATAATGCTACTCAAACATGATGATCTGATTTACAGGGACGGAATTCAACTTTGATAAGTTGGATTACTTCGACAACAACCTTCTAGGAGTAGAGTTCGACTATGAATCCATTATGCTATACGGAGAAACAGCTTTCTCCAAGGATTACAAGTCCATTACTATGAAACCGAGGAAGGCGGGTGTGAAACTGATCCCTGTGTACACAAAGAGTGGATTCTCTACAACTGATGTCATCAAGATCAACAGACTTTACGAATGTTTTGGTAAGAGGCTGGTAGAATGTTTTGGAGTTTATTCAGTTACCCAAAATATCCAAGCTCTAATTTTTAAGAAATCCAACTTTTTTAAAGAAGTGCCATTGATACTTTATTTATTTATATTTTGAAAAATATTATTGTTTAATTAACGTTCCAGGAGAAGTACGTCCTCCCCGACCTGAACCACCGGGATTTTATTGCGATTTTGAAGATGACAACTGTGGGATTGCTAATCAAGAAAACATGTTATTATTCTGGTACAGGTCCAATATCAGACGAGAAGGTAGTCGAGGTGGGTGTAAAGTCATTTGTTTCTAAGAAGAACTTTATAAAACGTATTTATGGATGTTTTGGAATTTCTCTTTTCTCACATCACGTTTCAGTAATGTTGAAGTTAGTATTGTTATTAACACAAATTACAATAATAATTGAAATTAACAATACATATTAATTTCAATATCCTACAAAAGTAGAAGGGCGAACAATTGATTAATTTTCCATCAACCTAATGGAATTCATTATTACTTATCTGTAATATATTTACCTTTATTTCAAACAGATGTGTTTTTTCTTTACCTACTACTTTACATGCGTCTTTAACATAGTATATTTTTCCAGTACAATGACGTGAAACAAAATATATCACAAATTCAGCTTCTCAAACATTCCATAATAATACTCGTACACATATATGTTATAGAAGCTTTTGTGAATACTAAAATATATTGATTTATATTAACCGCATGTAAAACGCAGTCACAAATCAGACGCAAAACCCAAGGATGTTGAAGGTTGGTATTCAAATCTTTCGACGACAGCTTTAGTTTTATTTGAATTGTAACAAGAAGGAATCCTCAATAGCCGCGGCAATTGAAATTCCATTAGGCAGGATTAGAGTAAATTAATCTATGAGACCTTGGGCGTGGTTAAGTACATCAATCCAAAAGAGATTCAAATCCGTCAAGAGATGACAGAGCTATGACCTAAAAGTTTGTACTTGAAAAAACACTCAGAGCCATTCTATGAGCCGCTATGCCACGGCTAAAAATCTAACCTCAAGGTTGTCCTTCGCCAAATTTCACTGGTCTTTCATTACCACGGATAATTTTTTAATGCTTGTCGAAATGGAACTTTCAATTATTGAAATGTGAGTTCATAAAGTATTAAAACATTACACTGCTTTACTTGCCAAAATGTATCAAGAGAAACGTTAAGTGACTAGAGGAAAAGCACATCTTACATTCGATATAAATATTATTAATTAAAAATAATTTATCTCAATTTTGACACAGGTTTCAATGTTTATTAATGAAACTAAAAATACACTAATCAAAAAACATTTAAAACAAAGCTATAACTGGCTGAACATTATAATTTTGTAGATAAAACACGAACCCTCGGCTACGTATACTTAACAGAGGAGGTGTTTCTCGTTGCATTCAGTCACCAAGATTATACTCGTAAATACAACACATTAATGACAACAGTTGATAGAAAAACTTACTTGAAATTTTCAAACTGTCGTTAATGCATTAAAACTACACGTTGTAAGCACATTAAAAATACCTTTAGCACAAATTAAGTATCAACGAAATCGAGGACAAGTTATAAATATTATTGACATTAGTCATTACTTTGAATTCGTAGGATGTTATGTTAATATAATAGTGTCGTCATAATGTATTTGTGGGTATATCATTTTAGGAAACTAAATATTTAGTGCCACTTTCTTCAAGATCCCCTCTTCAGAGTAAATATAAAACAGCTGCAGTTAACAGGAAAGTGTAAACTACAGATTAACAGATATTATTATCCAAATCAGTTACTTGTTTATCTCAACTTACTATTGTCTTTAACGAGATAAACTTAGACTTAAATATTGATACCTTGAGAGATGTTAGTATACGAAATTGAAACTTCGGTATATTCTATTTCATTCTGCTATAAAACTAATTCCATGTTATGCACACTTAGAGGCTGAATAGTGGATAAATTTCCTAGGATATCTATACCCAGTGAACGTAAGCCCCTGACAGGAACATAGGCTTCTAGGTGAGAGTAAACCCTAATGCATATACGTGGATAATCCCTAATTTATGAACGTAATTGACTGAATAGGTATAAAAGTTAAGTGTATATACTAGTATAAGAATGTGGATTATTTCGCTAGTATAGACACACTAGTGTATGAACATGGGTTACTTGTTTAGTATACACACTAGTGTATTAACATGGGTTACTTGTTTAGTATACACACTAGTGTATGAACATGGGTTACTTGTTTAGTATACACACTAGTGTATGAATATGGGTTACTTGTTTAGTATACACACTAGTGTATTAATATGGGTTACTTGTTTAGTATACACACTAGTGTACGAACATGGGTTACTTGGTTAGTATAGACACACTAGTATAGGAACATGGGTTACTTGGTTAGTATAGACACACTAGTGTATTAACATGGGTTACTTGGTTAGTATAGACACACTAGTGTATGAACATGGGTTACTTGGTTCGTATACACACACTAGTGTATGAACATGGGTTACTTGGGTAGTATACACACTAGTGTACGAACATGGGTTAATTGGTTGATATTCACGCAAGTGTATGAACATGGGTTCCTTGGTTCGTATACACACACTAGTGTATGGACATGGGTTACTTGGTTAGTATACACACTAGTGTACGAACATGGGTTAATTGGTTGATATTCACACTAGTGTATTAACATGGGTTACTTGGTTAGTATAGACACACTAGTGTATGAACATGGGTTACTTGGTTAGTATACACACACACTAGTGTATGAACATAGGTTACTTGGTTAGTGTTCACACACTAGTGTATTAACATGGGTTACTTGGTTAGTATAGACACACTAGTGTATTAACATGGGTTACTTGGTTAGTATAGACACACTAGTGTATGAACATGGGTTACTTGGTTAGTATAGACACACTAGTGTACGAACATGGGTTCCTTGGTCAGTATACACACACTAGTGTATGAACATAGGTTACTTGGTTAGTGTTCACACACTAGTGTATGAACATGGGTTACTTGGTTAGTGTACACACACTAGTGTACGAACATGGGTTACTTGGTTGATATGCACACAAATGTATGAACATGGGTTACTTGGTTAGTATACATATTAGTGTATGAACATGGGTTACTTGGCTGGAATATACACTAGTGTATGAACATGTGTTTCTTGGCTGGTATACACAAAAGCGTGTGAACATGTGTTTTTTTGGTTGGCATACACACTAGTGTATGAACGTGGGTTACTTCGTTGGTATACACACTACTGTATGAACATGGGTGGTCAAGATGCTGTTTGTGCTAACAATGATAAGAAAGAGTGTGATCGATGTGATGACTGTATGGATATCAAAGTTTGTTTTGTTTTTTTCGAAAAGAGATGAAAAGAAGAAACAAAGTAGTGACTAAGGATATCGAGAGAAAAACGAATAAGTTATTGCTGGAATAAAGAAAAAAATGAATGCTAAAAAACTACTTAGAAGGTATCATTAAGAAGGAACTTGCATATATTGGGAAATCCCAATAAGAAACAGGAACCTACCAGGAAATAAACATTACGGAAGGAAGAGTTGGGGAAAACAGAGAATGAGGAAGACCAGTCATAAGGTGCAGGGATGAGACAGGAAGACAAATGGGAATGTTGACGATAAGAAGATCATGGGATCGGGGTGGTTCGTGGCGCTCACTAATATTCCAATAGGGATTAGAAATAAATAAATATTGGCTATTTGGTTGATATATACACTGGTGTACGAATATGGGTTGCTTGGTTCGTGTACACACACTAGTGTATGAACATGGGTTGCTTGATGAATGTGCGAATAAGTTTATGTAAATAATTACTTAATCTTAATCGATTCAAAATAATTACTTGTTGAGTGTTTTTATACTAACGTAGTGTACGAGCATGGGTTACTTGGTCTGTATATGTACACTATACGTACACATTGGTTACTTGGTTGATATAAACCCTAGTGTAGGAACGTGGGTTTCTTGGTCGATATGTAAACAAGTAAACGAATACGAATTAATTGGTGGGTATATGTACACTAAGGTATGAACATTGGTTACTTGGTTGATATAAACCCTAGTGTAGGAACGTGGGTTTCTTCATCGATATGTAAACAAGTAAACGAATACGAATTACTTGGTGGGTATATGTACACTAAGGTATGAACATTGGTTACTTGGTTGATATAAACCCTAGTGTAGGAACGTGGGTTTCTTCATCGATATGTAAACAAGTAAACGAATACCAATTACAAAGGGGGGTTTACATACACCATTGCACGAATATGATCTATTTGGTGAGTGTTAACATTTGTACAAATACAGGTTACTTATACATTAGTTTCTATAATTTTTTTAGTTTATATACTTTGTTTTATGCAATGACTACTAGATTAAGTTTAGATTCACAGGAAATCGGATGAAATTACTTTTTTTTCGTCTCGAAAATACTTTCGGTATGAGAAAAATATATTTCAGTTTAAGAGAACTCGTATGCTGAAAAGATATTTCTCACGTGTCAGTCTGAATGGACCATCATGCCTGTCATGTTTAAGTGACAACATTTCAGTGTTTGGTTGAAGATTACCGAATTTAACTGTTAAACATTGCAATTACTTAGTGCTAGAAATACAACATGCTTTGCAAAGGCCCTCAAAAACATTGTACTCTAGAAATATCGTAGCTGTCCTCCTTGTGATTGAAGCTTGCCTATCTTATTTTAGAGGAACAATCAAGTTGCTTACTTTAAAATAAAAACAAAAAATATACTGCTGTTCATTAGTTTTTCTCTTTAAATGTATTTCTTTAGGATTATATGGCACACCTAAAGATTCTTCTGTGCACATTAACGAAAAGGAATGCATACGGTATTAATTTAGTTAAAGTCTATATTCATTGTGTATCGAATAATATTAAGTTAGACGCGGTCCTGTCAGTGAGCTCCGACGTTAGGTAGCTAGTCATCGTAAAGACCATGTTGATAGTTTAGTTGATAAAGGTTGGTATAGATTTAGTTTGTTAAAGAAAATAATTACAAAACATGGAATACATGACAGTAAAACCATAATTAAAATATATAAGGTGTTTGTAAGATCACTTCTTGAATACATGGGCAAAATAGTGTATTACGACTAGCTACGAATTCACCCTTAAATACGCCAGTTATATTTTTGAGCCAGCAGTTTTCTTTGGATCAAAGATTAAAATACCTCACCCAAAGTTATTATAATAAGAATAAGAATTTATATATGTTGAAGGAGTTGAAGGATAACACAATGTTTAGGAGATACAATAATTATAATTCTCCATTCAGCATGTTTTGTTATATCTACGGGAGCTAAGTATGTTTTTAGAATTTTATTTTATATATCTATATTGAATAAATGATAGCAATATATTTATATATTGTGTGTATATTTACTTTTATTATATAATAAAATTTTAGTATTTATTGTAATTAGGATGTCTTAAAATATAATATTAATTTATACATTTTGTAAAGATATTTTATTGTCCTTTATATATACATATGTGTAGTTATGCAACTCCGTCATTGAATCTTAAACAGAACCTGAAACACCAGTCCTCACGTACTAGAGGATAAATATATTCTCACCGCTAGTCATCGTATGCTTGGTTAAACCAATACTAATTTTTGGTATTCCATTATGTTGATTTATAGATAACCCCTTATCTAAACACTGGTTTACACTTTCCTATTAATCATAGTAACAAACTGTTTTTCACAGATTTCACGAACATTTGTTTTTATTATATGATAAACAAAATTATCCCCTTGCATATCATATAAGTATCATAATTAATATCATTCATTTAGGATACTATATGGGACTGACAGCTACACAAGGGGGTAATGGATTTGCCAGACTCATCACACCTTTCGTCAAAGTTTACGGACGAGAGAAAGGCTGCCTTAGGTTTAGGTATTATCTGGAGGGTTCTGCAGCAAGAAACTTGAAGGTCACGCAACAAGGTCAAAGCACTTCGGAAGTGTGGGAAACTAACGTCGCTGATGGTAGATGGAAGGAAACAGTTTTGAACCTTAATCTTAATGGAGACACGCGGGTAAGTAAACAGATGTATTTGATGGCACTGGTTAATGTGTAAAAAGAATAAGAAGAAAACCTCTTTTGTATTTCGATATCCATGTATGATTATGACTTCAACAGACCCCCAGTGGCACAGTGGTATGTCTGCGGACTTACAACGTTAGAAACCTGGTTTCGATACTCGTGGTGGGCAGAGCACAGGTAGCCTGCCCATTGTGTAGCTTTTTGTGCTTAATCCCAAACAAACTTCAACAGAAGCCTACCTTTGTCACTCAAGTTGGTTACTGAGGTTTTAGCTTTTGGCATAACCAACTAACATATTAATATTTCCTAAATACCGGATTTTACTTTTAAAACGTGATTTTTTTAAAGTGCTATGTGTAAAGCTTCATTAACTCCACTATTCTATATCTTTCACAATAAATTAAAATGTTTTGTGTTAAAACAATTGTGACTAATAATGGCATCGAATTTGAATTGTGGCTAATATTTACATCCGAATCGAAGTCACTGTGTGAGAGGTAATATAAGTAGTAGGCTAAGGAAGTTATCACTATTATTTATTAGAGTTTGGTTGGAGGCTAGTTAAAGCAACATTAGGATAGGTCCTCCAACCAAACTCTAATAAATAATAGTGATAACTTCCTTAGCCTACTACTTATATTCTAGTTAAAGCAACATTAGGATAGGTCCTCCAACCAAACTCTAACAAATATCAATAACTTTCTTAGTCAACTTGTTTTCAGAATTTTCGCGCAAAGCTACACAGGGGACTATTTGCGCAAAGGTGTACCTGATTTTGAAATGAAATATTAGAAGGAAGGCAGGTATTCAACAGCACCCGCCGCCAACTATTGGGATACTCTTGTCTGACCGAGTACGTTAACTGCAACACCACACCCGTTACCTGAAGTCTATTGCTTATGCTCTAATCAAAATCACGGTGTATGAGGGCTTCCACTCAGAGTAGAGACTAACTTTATAAACAACAGTCTGTGTAAATGTAAACATAAAAGACTGTGTGAATGTTTTCACGGTACTTTCAGTATTGGCAATGTACAACGAAGTGAGCTGATTAAAATGTGTTGTTCAGTGGTTAGCGTGGCACCCGTAAAGCTGAGGTCCGAGGTTTGAGTCCCGCTACTACAAAGTAAAAAATCTCTGAGGCCTTGTGTGCGTTATAAGAGTGACGATCAAATCCCAATATTTGGTCTGATAAGAGTAACCCAACAAAAACCATCAAACTACTTTCAATATAGTAAAATGTCATATTGCCCCCCAGCGGCAAAGCGGTATGTCTGCGGACTTACAACGCTAGAAACCGGGTTTCGATACCCGTGGTTGGCAGATCGCAGACAGCCCATTGTGTAGGTTTGTGTTTTACTTCAAATAAACAAACAACCGTCATATCACCAGATTGATTAATAGAGATATCTATGACGTTTGGGGAAGTTTGTTTCTTATATTCAGCATATTTTATTTTTCTAACTTCAAACATCTGTGGTGTGAAACTAATGTTTTCTCCTTTTTCAGTTCTTCGTGGAAGCGTCAACAAGCACTGACAACACGCAAGGGGTGATAGCAATAGACGAATTTTCTTTGGCCATCAGGTCTTGTAACTAATCGTGTAAAAGCATTTTTTAAAGAAATAATAAAAGCTAGCTTCGTTATAAGTCTGTCGTTTCCTGTTGTGCCTGAAATCTTGCTGCTATTTTTCAAGTTACTTAACCAAATTTTCCATCAAAAACCAAAACAGCGATATATATATATGTACCAAAAGTCATATTTTTCGTACAGCTTCTCCGTTTTATGTATATTTACATGCATCATAATTTGATAAAACGTAAAACAGCCTAATCCAAAGAATTTCATAGATAAAACAATTTTTACTTTTAATTAGCCTTTTTTTGCTTTGAAGCAAATATTTATTGTACACAAGGGCGCCCACATAAAAAAAAATTGGGGTGGGGTTCAAGTAACCCAAGTTTGAAACAATTATGAAATCGAAATACAAATACCGTATGATTTTTCGAATAACATAGAAGAAGAAGAATTTTACGTATCTAGTCATTTTTTTGCCCCTTCCTGCGGGCGCCCATGCTTGTACATATATAATAACAAGTTACAAAGAAAGAACATCTGATTGTGGTAAAGATTAATTATGGCTGATAAAACATTCTGTTGTCAGATTTTTAAAAAAAGAAAGTGTTGATTTAACATTTATTGTTTGCTTCTCAGTATCAAATAACACTGACCTTACAAACGTAATTAGTGTAGTCAGTGCTTGTCAGTATCAAATAACACTGACCTTAGAAACGTAATTAGTGTAGTCAGTTCTTGTCAGTATCAAATAATACTGACCTTAGAAACGTAATTAGTGTAGCCAGTGCTTGTCAGTATCAAATGACACTGACATTAGAAACGTAATTAGTGTAGTCAGTGCTTGTGAGTATCAAATAACACTGACCTTAGAAACGTAATTAGTGTAGCCAGTGCTTGTCAGTATAAAATGACACTGACATTAGAAACGTAATTAGTGTAGTCAGTGCTTGTCAGTATCAAATAACACTGACCTTAGAAACGTAATTAGTGTCGTTATTGCTTGTCAGTATTAAATAACACTGACCTTAGAAACGTAATTAGTGTCGTCAGTGATTGTCGGTATCAAATCACACTGACCTTAGAAACGTAATTAGTGTCGTCAGTGATTGTCGGTATCAAATCACACTGACCTTAGAAACGTAATTAGTGTAGTCATTGCAGATTTGTTTATTTTTGAGCAAAACTACATGGTCTATCTGCTGTGTCTACCGCAGGGAATCGAATCCCGGATTTTTGGCGTTGTAAGTCCGTAAACTCATCGTTGTCCCACGGGGGGACAGTCTATGTAAAACAAAGTACGTATTTGTATTTATGGCAACGTCCCTAATTTTAAGCTATTGATCAAAGGGAAGGTAGCCTGTAAGCACACACTACCACCCACAATAAGGTACCGACTTTCACCCTTATAACGCACCTACAGCATGAAATAAGATATCGGACGCATTCAAAGCCGGTTCGCCAACTTCGAAATTCAGAGATCCACCACAGGGCAAAATAGCGCCCTATAAAGAGAGAAGTATAGCTCTAGCACAGGGCCAACCCACACCCTAGAAAGAAACGGCCCACTATAAACAGTGTTTATTATATAATCTGTGTATAACAAATGCGAATTATAGAAATCTCCCAAATTATAATCTAAAGACATCGCCCATTAACAAATTCGAAAGATGTTGATTATTAATTGTTATAAAACATGACGCAACTAACATATTATTGATTTAATAACAAGACACAACTAATTTATTCCTAATTACAAAACATATTTACAATTATTTGTTTTCTTCAGTCGATAAATCCAATAATTTTTGCCATCAAGTGCGCATCTGCAGCTTATGGTGATAGCGCAATAGTCCGTAATTTAATGAATTATAACGACCAAAGTTCAATCTTAATTACATAATGATAAGGATATGCAAATAGATCGATCTTCTTGGTCTCCCTGTGGGACAATGGCAGGCTTAGGAACTTCCAACGCTAAAATGCGGGGTTCGATTCTCTACGGTAGACATAGCAGATAGTTCATTGTGGCATTGTTGTAAAACAAACAAATAAAATCAATGTTCCTTTTGCAACAAATATAAACGTTGTTGAAAAACAAAAGTAAATAAAAAACGGAGATGTATGATAAAATATATCTCTCTCTATAATTTGCCCCCCAGTGGCACAGCGGTATGTCTGCGGACTTACAACGCTAGAAACTGGGTTTCGATACCCGTGGTGGGCAGAGCACAGATAGCCCATTGTGTAGCTTTGTGCTTAACTTCAAACAACAACTCTATAACTTTTTAAAAGATAAAACTTTAGAAAAAGAAAATTTTTGAAGGACAATTAAGCTTAGATTTTTCGGGTCTCAGATATTTTGCCCCACAGAGCGAAATTTTTCCTTATTCTAAAATAACTGAGATCATCATGGGAATCGCCTCGCATTTCAAAGTTTTGTGTTTCCAAGCTTCTTTCACATTTGAAGTGTGTATCAAAAAAAGAAAATGTATGGGAAAGTAGTATTGGTAAATAAAAAAAATATGTAGTTGTAGTAACATAAGAACTTAAAAAAAAGAGAGAGATTAATGAAAACAAAATTATCCTAACATTATAGTACGAAAGAGTTGATGAAGAAGTGATTATGTTACGAACAAGATCTCTCTCAGTAGAAGTCGAGGCTATTTATTAAAATTAAGGCAGAAAAACACAGCACGAGAGGGAAGATTTATAACAATTTAAAAATAGTATTGGTTCGTTATTTCCTACTCTCTCTCAGTACAAGTCGAGGACATTTATTAAAATTAAGGCAGAAAAACACAGCACGAGAGGGAAGATTTATAACAATTTAAAAATAGTATTGGTTCATTATTTCCTATTATTTTTAGGTTTTTGTTTCGGTTTTCCGATATTTTGCACTATTTAAGATCCAGAAGTACTCGTTGTTAAATTGGGTAAACTATGTATATCGCTTCCTTGTACTGTTTTTGGTTTAGCTCCAAGAAAAGCGTTTCTTAGAAAAATCTTTGGGATAAGTGGACTATGGCATACGCAGAAAACAGGATGTATCTTCACATGTCATCCTGGAATTTCCCTGTAGAACAAAACTGATTTCCATATTCGCTGTTCCTTACTTGTTCTGGATATTTTGTAGGTAATTAATTGCACACCACAATGGGCAGTGCGTTCTCGTACTTTGAGCTCAGGCTTGCACTCATTTGATAGTTACGTAAAATTCAAGGTAAGAGATAAAGAAACCCCCCCCCCATACCGCTTACGTCATACTTCACTATAAGAGTGACAGACAAATCCACTGTTCTCTTAGACGATAACAATCCAAAAGTTGGCGGCGTGTTCTTTTTACAAGTAAAGAAACAGCTCTGCTCATACCACTTACATCATACTTCACTATAAGAGTGATAGATAAATCCACTGTTCTCTTAGACGATAACAATCCAAGAGTTGGCGGCGAATGCTTTTTACTAGTAAAGAAACAGCTCTGCTCATACCACTTACATCATACTTCACTATAAGAGTGATAGATAAATCCACTGCTCCATCAGACAATAACAATCCAAGAGTTGGCGGCGAATGCTTTTTACTAGTAAAGAAACAGCTCTGCTCATACCACTTACATCATACTTCACTATAAGAGTTACAGACAGTTCACACTATTCACTCACACAAGAACAATCCAAGAGTTGGCGGCGAATGCTTTTTACTAGTAAAGAAACAATCCGCATACCACTTACGTCATACTCCACTATAAGAGTTACAGACAGTTCACACTATTCACTCACACAAGAACAATCCAAGAAGGCAGTGAGTGCTGTTGACAGGCTGCCATCTCTTTATCACTATAAGAGTTACAGACAGTTCACACTATTCATTCACACAAGAACAATCCAAGAAGGCAGTGGGTGCTGTTGACAGGCTGCTATCTCTTTATCACTATAAGAGTTACAAACAGTTCACGCTATTCACTCACACAAAAACAATCCAAGTAGACAGTGGGTGCTGTTGACAGGCTGCCTTCCCTTTATTACTTCGAGATATGAGCGAAATTCTTAAACAAGCCGAAACCGAAACAATAAAAATTACTAGAATGTTCAGTTACTGTTAAGTAATAAATTTAACATCATGTGGTGTAAAAAATAATTTAATCACGTTACATTGACACTAAAGTTTGGTCTTGTACAAAGATTTGTGGTCATGAAGATAAGTATTTGGACCTTTTTGTTATAAAATATATGTCACTAGTAAAAGAGTCCCACCCCCGATGGGTCAGTAGTAACTAACAACGCTAAAATCCGGGGTTTGATTCCCAAGTAGAGATAACCCTTTGTATAGATTGGCGTTAAAAACTTATAACACATACTAATACGTTACTTCAAATAAATACTAAATCTTTAATGATGCGTATGATAAATACTAAATTTTACACTGCACTTAAATTAAATACAAAACTTTTACACAGTGATTAAAATAACTAGATTTTATACGTGTTATACAATTGTATTAAATAGTTAATCGCAAATGTTAATTATAATAAGCACCAAATATTACAAGCTACAAAACAATCTCTCACGTTTCTTGAACTAAAATCTCAGTCATAGAATGTTACATGTAATACATACTAAATCTTACGTGTAACACATACCTTACAAAGAATCTCAACTTGATCAGTAATAAAAATTAAATCTTACGAGTTACAAGAAACTTACAAAACATTACTACTGTAATACTTACATCTTACGGCACAAGTTACGTGTTACCTGAATTGTGTTATGTTTTTTTAATTAAAGGAACTGGCTGCGTTTGCTTGGGTTTCGGCCAAAAATTACATCTCGCATGAAAAAACATTATCGATCTTTTTTCGTGTATAATTATGCCAAAACCTTAAATAAATACTTCTTATTGGTCAAAGCTATACGAAAGCAGTGTTTACCTACCTATCCTAACTGCAATCCTAGGTAATGCAATTAAACAAAATAACATTTTTCACTCTTTATGGCTTTAAACTTTGAACTGTACGATGCTGCAAAATTTTGCAATTGGTCAAAAAACTGTGGGGGGGGGGGGGGATCTTCAAAGAATGTATTCTATTTTTGCGGCATGAACTCCCACGTGGATTAATTTGAAATCCTACGTTAATGTATCACTAGATAAAGTGTGAAAATCGAAAATATAAAAAAATGTGAGATACAAATGACGGATATATTGGCAACATTCATGAAAGTGGCGAAAAAGTGCAATGAACATTGCAGCCTTTTCTGAAACTGGATCGTTACTAGACGAGCTAGCATCATATAGATTTATAGTTCCTTTAATAGTTTGTTATAATGTGATCTTCAAAACAATACTAGTCGGCAAACGAATGTAGAGCTTAGCTATGAGAATCGTTATTACTAGTGACAATTTAACAAAGCATGCATAGCAAACTCTTTAATGTACAGAAGATGGTTTCGAAAGTATCACGAGAAGCTGTAAAAAAACTGTCGGAATAATTAACAATTGTTCCAGAACTACTGAAGATTGGTGTAAAATGAAAGAAACGACTTACTAGTTATGAAACTGAGGTTGAGCCAATCATTGCTGCGCAACAAAGTCATTTTCTTACATTGTAGTGAACTGTGCTTTAATGAAATAGTGAGAAAGATTTTAGGTGCCCTATGGTTGGTTACACGTCAGATTTTGAGTTCCTAAGTAATTCAAGACGGAGAACCTAATGAACGAGTAAGATGTTGGTGGAATTCGTTTACTTTTTAAATTTCATAGTCTAGCTGCAACTCTCCCGGAGATATCTAACGGTCTTAGAACACTGTATTTTATCTACAAAAATGACTACGTAGCACTACATAACAATGTATGCCTTACTTTCAGGGCACTACTTACACAACCAGTGACTGTTACATCTGATGAGAGTTTTTTCAAAGTTGAAATTAATTAAAATCTATCTGGGATCATCCTTGTCTCGTGGGCTTCTCACTGGGTTGGTAACACAGTCTAGCTGCAACTCTCCCGGAGATATCTAACGGTCTTAGAACACTGTGTTTTATCTACAAAAATGACTACGTAGCACTACATATCAATGTATGCCTTACTTTCAGGGCACTACTTACACAACCAGTGACTGTTACATCTGATGAGAGTTTTTTCAAAGTTGAAATTAATTAAAATCTATCTGGGATCATCCTTGTCTCGTGGGCTTCTCACTGGGTTGGTAACACACTCCATCTAGAAAAATTTCAAAGGTATTATAACATGAGCAATAACAAAGTAAACCTACACAGTAGCTATGTAAAAAAGAACGTGAAGGCGAAATTTCATATTTCGAAGTAGGTACCATAAATTTCCAATTTTCACGCCAAAAATATCCTGCAATAAATATTTAATTAATTAAGTATTACTTTTAGTTTAGTCTCGCCTTTTTATTAATTTTTCAAACTTTGGCATTTTTAGCACTTATACGCCCCCCAGTGGCACAGCGGAATGTCTGCGGACTTACAACGCTAGAAACCGGGTTTCGACACCTGTGGTGGGCAGAGCACAGATAGCCCACTGTGTAGCTTTGTGCTTAATTACAAAAAACAGACAAGCACTTATACTTCCTAAAAATTTAGCTTATTTAATTATCTGTTTCTAGCTGTTCTAATTTTACATTTTTTTAAAGGTTTCGAAGGTTTTAGCATTTCACGCTCCAAGTCTACAAAATTGATTACTTTCAAAACTTGTTATTTCTCCTTAATACAATATTAATCAATAAGCTATCTACAATCTGTCAACCGTGAGGAATCTAACCTCGAATTTTTGCGTTTCAAGTCAGTAAACGTACTGCTGACCCAACTGGAAACATTATCAGAATAGAAATGTACATTCTTGTTAAAATTGAATAATATAATTAAATATAAACTTTTGCTTCATTTTGAATTATTATATTTATCGAATCTAAACGATTTAATATTATTTTACTAGTTATCTGAAAGGCGTTAATACTGATAATAACTATCATTTAGCTCAGTTTCAGACCTTTCGAAATTGTAATACGTAAAAGCTCTAAAAGAATCAAACCACTTACATTTAACAAAACTGTGCACATTTAAATATACTATATTCATTTATTAATGTTGTAATATGTTGGTTCTCAACTAACCAACGTTAATCACTATTATAATAGAAAATATTCGTCCAAGACTGTGCATACCTTTATTATAAATTGAATTTTCAACAGCAGAAAACATTATGTGAATATAACTCATGCCAGCTACTGACTTCAGTATTGAAGATTATCATTTTAATGAAATGTAGTTTAATAATAATTATATTACATTACAAATTTCACAATACTGTCACAATTCCTATCCTAACTTTCTATGAAATATAGTAAAAGATTATCGGAGTATGACTCACAGAATGACTCAATCACAACTGAAGGCCAGATAAGACGTTTTATAACAATAAACCAGGAATATTTATAATCGTTTCCTCTAAAAACAAGGACATAAATCGTCGCTCGGGTTGGAAGTACATCGGCCGTCAGGATATCCTGTTCCAACCACTACTACCACTGTGAGTAACTATATTTATTTCACCATTAGACAATATTAGTCTCAAAGGTTTCGCCTCGTTTCTTTGCAACGACAACTGTCTTGTGTGTTCACTGGAATCTGGGAACTAATATACAAGTTAAGGTAAGTAGTTTATTTTGGGTACAGATTAACGTAATATTTGGTAGAATAACACATTTCTCACTCTCTTACTTCAGTTTACTGATTTTGTTTCTCCAAATATACGCGCTTTGAGAGCGTTTACGCACAGGCGGATTCAGGAAACCTGCCTGCCTTGTGCAGTGCCGATCTTATTCTTGGGAGTGCTAGTAATACTTGACCTGAACGTGTGTCACAATTTGATATTTTTAGATATTTCTCTTTTCCCATGTTACTTTATTGAACATCGTACCCAGTCTCTCTTTACTTCAGCTCAGTTTAAACTCCGTGATACCTAACCGTCATTCCTATTGGTTGCAGTTACAACCCTAAAAGTAATTCCCGCAACCCTAAGAATACTATACTGTTATAGTAACCGCAAAGAAACTTGGGTTGTTTAGACTTCAAAAATGTGTTTATATTCATAAAAAAAAAACACCTTAGAAACATTTCACTACTTAAGTACGTATCAGTCTATAATGATTTTTTCTGACTGATTTCAACTATGTAGTTTGGCGCTTTGCCAAAAACCCTGGGTGATTAATGTGTACTTTAAAAATTCCAAGCTCTGCAATAACAATAAAAAAAAAGGGGAAATAAAGTTGAAAGTACTGGGTTTGGTAACACAACAAACTGATTCATCCAAACATAACATACAATAGAAATTAGTCATATATATTTACTGTAAACTTTTAATCAATAATACATCGACGTAATTGTCAAATACCTCAACACTTGTTACGTTAACTTTATATTGTTAACTACATACAATCAACATTTGATTTAGTATACAACATGAAACTTTTCCAATGACATTAAGAATGCTGTGTTTTCGAAAAATAATAAACAACAAAAAAAACTGCTGTCCTGTGAATATTTTAAGATTATTCGGAATTGTTATGAACAACTACTAACTTTTGGGATAGACGTCTAATAATTATTTGGTTCGTTTAACAAAATGTGGCTATTTAATTCAAAACTTCTGATACACTGCTTGAGAATTCATAATATTAATTATGTATGTTGCAGACCGATTAAGTAATAGCGTTGTCGTTATCTATGGATATATTTAGAAATAAAAGAGACTAACAAGTAACATTTACGTAGTTATTACACCATGCGTTTGATAAACTACAGCTAATTAAGATTATTACCAATGTGCATAAAAATAGGAAATTATTGAATTTGTCAACATTTCATTATTTTTTTGTAGAACAAGGTGTGCTGATATAAAAACATGTCATCCAAACAACTATTTAATCTCAATGAAAACTCATTCAAGCGTGCCGCTCCAGTTAACAGAAACAACAGGATATTGTTACAGGGTTGTAACTCTAAACCCACGCCTAAGCAAACTCCAAAAATCAATAGTTCTTCCAAATCATCTGGACCAGCTCCTCAATCTACCCCTCGCCCACCATCTTTGAAGAAATAAGTTACTATAGTGTGAGTATATCAGTTATACAATACATCCAATGAGTCCACATCACGTTACGCCAGAACCATAAATGAGACGTACATTTGAGTTTTGATGTGATGTAGATAAAATATTTCCTTTTAATTACCATGTTCTCCACCAGGATAAAAAATATATATACATTATTGAAACATATTTTTATTAATTCGCAGAGGCATGGAACAACCAGTTTAAATCAGCAAAAATCCAGAAGAAGAAACAACAATGAAACTACTTACTCCAGATGTTCGCACTTAGCATGAGAATGTTCTTATTCAGAAATATCAAATCTAGTTTTTACAATATATATTTTTTATTTCGTCTTTGAAACTGTTTATTTTGGATATATTAAAGTATTTCATGAGCAAATATACATTTTATACTGCATTTCATATTATTCATTTTCATCATCTATGTTTGTTTTTTATAACCATTGTATATATATCTTAATGAATCTAAAAATTGTTGTTCTTTGAAAAACTTGTATAACCTATTTTACTGTATGTTTTCACGTTTAGCATAATAAAATTCAGTGAATCCAAAACTATAATTTTCGTTTTTATATTTCAATTAGGACTTCTTAAATGTAAAAAGGAAAAAGCTATGTCAGCCAAGAAACTCGTTAATATTAATATAGTTTTCAGTCTTTCTTGTTAAGACAATTGGGGTCAGCTCGATATACGCGAGACAGAAGCTTGTCATTAAGAAGATACCACATGTTGTGTCAAACATAACAAATTTTGTTTGGAATTACCGCACAAACAAATAATGTTAATAAAATACGTTGTAGGCGAATTTGTTTTCATTATCCTTTCAGAAAACTGTCTAGACTGAAAGCAGGGGTCATATTCAGCACGTGATCGAATTGGTTGCAGTTATTTAATTTTTGCGTTTTGTTTTTCGTTGCAAGATTACATTTATCGAGATAAGTATAAATGTAATGTTGTTACATTATTTAGTTCAACCTAATAAACAGTAGTGAAAAATAATTGAGTTATTTTGCGAAAGACTGTAAATACACATCATTCA